TAGTCACTCTACTTTGTATTGTTTGTAAGTTCGGTTTGTATACCTCATAATTTTTCATAATACCCAAAGTACCCTTGTCATTAATTAAAAGGCTCTTCCCACTTTTTAACCGTCAGATTGGTGTGTCTAGAATTGCTTATTATCGGGCTTCATTCCGTTCAAGTGAGTGGGAATCCGTCTCTGGTGGATGTCGTCTAGCATAAGTTTCAAATAATCGTTTCTCTCATTTTTAACCAATTTGACATTCTTAGCGAGTATCGACAGCTCCTGCTGGTTAACTAGTACTAGGGTTAATGAAGGAGTCAGTTACTGACTTGCCGAAGCAAAGGAGTACTTCAGCTAAATCACATCTTACTCACTCCGAATATCACACTTAAATCTCACCTGAGGCTGAAGTATAAACCTTAAATGGGTGCAATAATATAGGGCAAGTATGTTTAAATATCAACCCGGACCAGTCCATGTACCCCTACTTCAATTGTTTGAAACATTATCTAGCGGAATGAAGTTTGTAAGAATCTCTACAATCTACGATTGAAAGTGCAAGGCTTGAAAAGTAAAAGGATCGAAACTCTTGGTGAGAAGCTTCACTCCGGAGTTGTTCCCCCTAACTAACTACCCTGAACTGTGGGATCGAATGAATTGGTGTACGACTGCAACAAGGCGATTGCAAACTGTTAGGAGGAGCAACAGTGGTTGGAAACCACGCTCTCAAACGCTAGGCCAAGAAATGCATTATAGGCTACGAAGGTAGCCCTTTTGGCCCAAGCAAAAGAGGGTGGACTTACCTTCCCTCTCAAATCGGGTTTTGGACGGCTTAATCACAATAAACATATGTGTCTAATTTGATTTTAGAGGTTTGCCTTACATTAACCTAGTTAAGAGGCATGGAATGCCTAAGAAAACCCAACTCAATTTGAGCCTCATAAGAAAAGGGGGTTTCTCTCTAAGCTAGGTTAGAGTAGCACAATAGATTGCCAAGCATACCTTTCACAGTATGGTTTCCGTGTCTGAGCTAGATTTCACGTCTCTCTCTATGGAGTAACTTTCTCATTCACCTGGGTATGAAGAACCCAAGATTTTTATGTTAGGACTGATTGTATTAACCAAGTATGATTTCAGTGATATTATTATATTCAATTGAGGTTGGATTTCTTATATGGCATGAATCCTGATCAAATTCGGAAAAAATCCAAAAGTACCACTGTTTAAAAAAAATTCCAAAAATACCACCCAATCCCAAAAAATTCCAAAAATACCACCATTTTTCAAAAACCGCCACCCCACCCTGCGGTTTACACGAAAACCGTTTGTCGGGGGCGCGGTTTTCTATGCAAACAGCGGGCCTAGGGGGCGGTTATAAAAATTTTTTTTGGACCAAACCGCTGGTTGAGTTGGCGGTTTGAACCAAAACCGCCACCCCACCCAGCGGTTTGGCCCAAATTGTTTTTTTCCGATCAACTCCTAACTTCGGCCGAAACTTCAAACGAACGTAACTTTGCACTCGGGTATCCGATTGATGCGATTTTTTTTTCATTTCGCATAACTTTTCAAGATCTACAACTTTTAGAAGGATGAGATTTTCAAGACAGGAACTATTTGTGGATATACGGGACCTTGAGAATAACTTTACCTTTACTTTTCACAAATCCATGTACATTTTGAAATTATGATTATATTAAAAGTTGTAGATCTTGAAAAGTTATGCGGAATCAAAAAATAATTCATAACATTCGGATTTTGGAGCACAAAGTTATGAGCGCGCAAAGTTTTACGAAATGCGAGACCCGGCGGTATGCAACTTGCAAGATCTCAAAAAGTTTGCGGCGTCCATTTTTTGAATCCGAATAAATTTTTGAGATCTTGCAAGCCGCAAACCGTTGGGTCCCGCATTCGTCTCGAAAAAACGTCATTTGCCACCCCGAACGAGCCTTTTTTTGATTTCGTCAAACTTTGGGCGGCCATAACTTTGTGCTCCAAAATCCGAATGTCATGAATTTATTTTTGATTCCACATAACTTTTCAAGATCTACAACTTTTAATATAATCATAATTTCAAAATGTACATGGATTTGTGAAAAGTAAAGGTAAAGTTATTCTCAAGGTCCCGTATATCCACAAATAGTTCCTGTTTTGAAAATTTCATCCTACTAAAAGTTGTAGATCTTGAAAAGTTATGCGAAATGAAAAAAAATCGCATCGATTTATACCCGAGTGCAAAGTTACGTTCGTTTGTTTGAAGTTTCAGCCGAAGTTAGGAGTTGATCGAAAAAAAAAATTGGACCAAACCGCTGGGTGGGGTGGTGGTTTTGGGTCAAACCGCCACCCCACCCAGCGGTTTGGTCCAATTTTTTTTTTTTATAACCGCCCCCTAGGCTCGCGGTTTGCATTGAAAACCTCCCCTCCGAATAACGGTTTTCGTGTAAACCGCAGGGTGGGGTGGCGGTTTTTGAAAAAGGGTGGTGTTTTTGGAATTTTTTGGGGTTGGGTGGTATTTTTGGAATTTTTTTTTTCAACAGTGGTACTTTTGGATTTTTTCCATCAAATTCCTGTTATTTCTGCTTTGACCTAGAAAGAGAATATCTGCCTAGATTGATAGAGCACCCTTGATTGAAGGTAGTGAATTGACGACTTTAGTCGAGGAGTCAATTCATTATCGTGTACCGGATTTACTTCGGTAGAGGAGGTTTGGCTCGTTAGGGCCTTGTTTACACCATAAATTTTGTCTTGTACCACATTGGTGAGTTACAAGATAATCAAGGAGTTTATAAGGCCACACCCATTATAACAATTAATGTTGTTTAAATTGGGCCTTATAGATATTGATTTTAAACCCAAGTCACTAGCTCATTAATGAGCATGGACATGATTCAATAAGGGACATGGGCCTCTCGTAAGAGGCCATGCCATGCCACGAGATGGCATGAAAATTTCTAAGTATGAGAAGTCCATGGCCATGAATGAAGAGGACATGCCGCCTCAACGAAGAGGGCCATGTCCATCTAGAAATTGAGGAGCACATGCCGCCCCGCGACCAATACCGAATGATTGAAAAATAAACTAAGTCTGGAAGAGGTACATGCCACTTCAAGGAGAAGCATGTGCCACTTCAACGAGACGTCCATGCCACTTCACGAGAAGGGGCATGGACGCAAGAAAAGATACTAAGTATGACAGGACCATGCTGTGTCACGAGAAGGGCCACAAACATGACTGAGAAGTCCATGGCCGCGAATGAGGAGGCCATGTCGCCTCATGATCCAAAATATACTAAGTCTGAGAAGGTCATGCCGCCTCACGAGAAGGGTCATGTGCATGATTAAGAGGTCCATGGCCGTGTCATGTGATGGCCATGGACGCGAAGCAAGAAGCATTAGAAATGATTGAAAATACTAAGTATGGAAAGGGCATGCCGCCTCATGAGAGGGGCCTTGTGCATGATTGAGAAGTCCATGCCACTTCACAAGAGTGGCCATGGACACGAATGAGATGGGCATGGTGATGGAGCATTATATCACTAGTGAATATGTCTCAGGAGGTCCATGGCCGTTAGACAAGAAGGCCATGGACATGAGTAAGAAGTTCATGGCCGTAAGACAAGAAGGCCATGGACATGAGTAAAAAGTCCATGGCCGCGAGGCAAGAAGACCACGACCCCCTTTGCGAGACACCACATGCTCGTCAAAAGACTAGCATGGCACGAGATTCAGAACAAGACCAGGCGAGGCAAGCTACACTCCAAAACCCACGACGGTTCCAAGAGAGGCACCTAGGCGGTTGAAGGAGTAACCACCACTCCGAGGAAGCAGGGAGCAGTTCTTTTTGGGAGTTGTCCAAGAGGCGGTTTTTCCACCGAAGAAAGAGGAGCGGTTCTTTGTAGCAGTTATCCAACAAGCGGTTTTCTATGGCGGTTACCTCCTCGGGGCTATAAATAAGAGGAGGGGTCGACAGAGACAGAGGTTCCAAAACCAACACTCTGACACACATGTCAAGTTTATCCTTTACCTTTTCTCTATCATGTAGCCATAGATGTACTTCGTAGTTTGGAGCTCTCGCCGAACCTCCATAGGAGTAAGTAATTTAATTTAGATCTCGTTCCCAAAAACCATCAATCAAACACCCTCGTTCGAACTTTGTTTGAAGAGGTGTGAGCCGTGTCTTAGAAATCGTTGTCCATAGAAGTCAAAGGTGCAATCCATCTCAATTCAACAAGAGTTTTCTCGCCGGAAAACAGGCCTCAATTTGTTTACTCCGGTGGAGGTTAGTCGCCCGCTGGGGACTCAGATTGAGAGGGTCTGGAGACCTTTAGTCGAGACTGCAGACTATTTACGAACCTCCCGCAGTATAACTATCATTAAACTTGAACTTGGTAAATTACAACCTGACTTAACTGCAGTCTAGGGGAACCATATCCGGGTGACCTCTCTCAACATGAACACAACTTTCACTACTTTGCTTGCTAGTTTAATTGAACCTTCTCTACACTTGAACCGCTAGATAACAAGACTTTCACGGAGTAGTCATCACACCTTGGACCCAGGTTGACAATTAGAAAGGAACCCGCTATACTACGCATTAGTAGGTGGTTACACTTGACCACTTTCTAGTGTGACGGTAGAGGCGTGTCAAGTTACGGCCAAGTTCGGGACCCAACCAATGGCCAAGTCGCCGGAGGAATTCACTGCATCAACTAGAAAGCAAGACTTAAAACCCAACCCACGCATCCTACGGGTAACAACCCTCCTACTAGCTTTAGTTTAAAAAAATCAGGACAATTTGACCGACACAGGCCAAGGATAGAACAAAATGTAAGGGACGATCTGATTCCCCTTACATTCCAGGCGATCATCTTCATTTATCCCCTGGGCCCATTTGCGGCTGGCCACCTCCACTGTTGCAGCATCATCAACACATCCATCAGATTGTGATGTCTTTCTCTTCTTCAAAATCGTAGGATCATCAGGGAGATCGTTAACCACATCTGTCGGGTGTTTCTTTTCTCAAAACTCATCCTCTGGATCCGGAGCCACCATCCTGAAAGCTTTGGAGCTCACTTGGGGTGCATTTGCAAGAATCGAGTCTGTAGCATCTTGGTGGTCATCTGTTACCACCTTTGCGTCTTTCGAGGTCGAAGCAGCAGGGGTTGGTGCTACTTGCTGTCCTGAATCAGTCTGCTTCCCGTCACTCCCCATGGGAACAACACCTCTGCCACGTCCCGAAGAGGCGAAGCTCCCACGACCCGATTTCTTGTTGTAACCACGCCCTTTGTCGCGACCGTCCATGTTTCCTGTACGAGGCATCGCAGGAGTACCTGAACTCATACTAACAACAAGGTCATGGGTATCTGATAACCCCATTTGAGACAGTCCACGAATAATGTTGTTAGGTACAACATCCTGGTCAATCTCCATATCACCTCCAACCATCAGATTTTTCTGGATTTGTCTCTCCTCAGTAGGTTCCATGTCTGTGGTAGCCGGATTGATCCAGACAGCAGGAGGGCAATCACCATACGCCTTTCCTAGTTTTCCAATTTTCTTCCATAATCCTATGTCCCACTATTTTGGTAGTCAGCTCCTGACCATAGTGCTCTTCACCCTCAGGATCAGGGAACGTGCAATCTCTTTTCATATGCCCCAGCCTGCCACAATGATAACAGTAAAGTGGCAAGAACTCATAAACTAGCATAACCCAAAACTCACCAACCTCCAGGTTACTCGCATAGATCTGCGAACGAAGTGGCTCCAAGACATTCAGTTTAACTCTCGTCTTGATGAAATGCCTAGGCTCGCCTTTGATGGCAAACATTCCAGCATCCAAAACTTTGCCAATCATTGTTGCAGCCACTCTCTTACCGAATGCAACAGTACGACAATGAGGCGGGATACCCCACATTTGGACCCATAATGAGACATGAATGAAGGAATCCACCAGCGCTGGGGTAATTGGAGCCCATCTCTGCAATTGAAGGACTTTATCCTTCACCGGCCAAGGAGTCTAATGAAAAACCAGTCCCGGTCTGATTCAGCAGAGAAGAAGAACTGGAGGCGGCCTCATTCTACTTCGAGGACCTTCACTTTGCATTCCCATGCTCTGCTAACAATCCTGTGAATGACCGACAGGCTCGGTGGGTTCTCTATAAACAATCGTCCCAGTAGGCTCAGTTTCGCTTGCTGCAGAGCAGACTGCACATCCTCAGTATCAAAAGATACTATTTGATTTTTATGCAGCAAGTTCTTAGCTGAATCCATTTTTGCAAACACTAAATCTCGCTCACCAGGAAGCTAATCGATTCCCACGACCGTAGTGGCTCAAGATGACCAATCTCTTCTTTGCTCTAATCGGTTTATTCTCAATGGTGAGTGTTCCCTTGCCCTTACGCCGGTATAAATAACCCGAAGAGGGAATTGAATCAAGGATTAACTTGGAAATATTCTAAGGATTTGAGATCATCTCCCCTAGAGATGGTCGATGTTGATAATTATCCACAAGATCTCCTATGAGGGAGACTTCTAACTGGTGACGAACTCGGACTTTCATCCACAAAGGGATAGACTGCAATTCTCGTGCAGGAACTATTCGGCGAATCAATCGCTCCATAGGACCTTCCTCATCCTTTCAATAGGAGGAGTCCTAATCAAACACTTTCGGCCGTCGATTTGACGCCGTCTTCAATAAGGGTCTCGCAGAAGAAACCCTAGGAGCAATCGCAACATTTTTTGTTGTCTATTTCCTAAACCGAGAAATGAAAGCAAAATATAATTTTCCAACCTCAAATCTACGAAAATTGATTAGTGTTTCTCGTTATTGTAATATTTTCTTACACCATTACCAAAGTCGTACATGATCTATAAATAAATAGAATTGAATAAGAAATACAGAAGATATTGACATATGACAATTGGTCATGAAAAACGAGAAAACATATTGTCTGGCAAGAGAAAAAGAGACAAATATGTCTGTCTTAGTTGCTCTCATAGCCGGCATAATAAATAGTGAGAGAACATGAAATTGTGAGACATTTGAAGATTACTCTTGCGGTGTTCTTTGAATTTGGTCAAAGATCTATGGACTTTCATCCACAAAGGGATAGACTGCAATTCTCGTGCAGGAACTATTCGGCGAATCAATCGCTCCATAGGACCTTCCTCATCCTTTGAATAGGAGGAGTCCTAATCAAACAATGTCGGCCGTCGATTTGACGCCGTCTTCAATAAGGGTCTCGCAGAAGAAACCCTAGGAGCAATCACAACATTTTTTGTTGTCTATTTCCTAAACCGAGAAATGAAAGAAAAATATAATTTTCCAACCTCAAATCTACGAAAATTGATTAGTGTTTCTCGTTATTGTAATATTTTCTTACACCATTACCAAAGTCGTACATGATCTATAAATAAATAGAATTGAATAAGAAATACAGAAGATATTGAGATATGACAATTGGTCATGAAAAACGAGAAAACATATTGTCTGGCAAGAGAAAAAGAGACAAATATGTCTGTCTTAGTTGCTCTCATAGCCAGCATAATAAATAGTGAGAGAACATGAAATTGTGAGACATTTGAAGATTACTCTTGCGGTGTTCTTTGAATTTGGTCAAAGATCTATGGACTTGTGTGTAATGAAGAGATCGAGAAAAAATAAGGAGGAGCAAAATTGAATAATCTTCTATAGCAATTAGGGATGACAATTTTGCACATACCCATGAGTTTTTTACTATCCAACCCAATTGGGTTGGGTATGAAATCCAAATAGATGGATATGGGTAGACTTTGATGGGTTTGTACACATACCCATTTACTTTGGGTTAGGTTGAGTTTATAACAAATGGATTTGGGTTTGTACCCATGTCCAAATACAAATTACAGTTTAGTACCTAAACTTAATAGATATGCAGATTTAGTACCTTTTTTGCATATAAGTCCTCAAAATATCGATGGAAAATTACGTTTTGGTACCTAAATTTTTTTGTCTTACATTTTGGTACCTAAAATTTTCAAGTTTTACAAATATGTCCAATTTTTGCATGTGTAGTTAAAACACCCTCAAGTAAATGGATATCCATATCTTACCCATACCCATTTAGATTATAGAAGCAATATCTATACCTTACCCAAACCCATCTACAAACTCCCCAAACCCATATGCACTTCACCCATACCCAACCCAACCCATTATCAATGGGTCTACTTGAGTTTGAGTATAATTACCCATGGGTGGGTAATTGCCATATAGCAATAAAGCGTGAGCATGCAAGTAGCTCAATTACCTCTTTTATCAATAACCGCGAGCTAGAAATAAGAATTGCACGAGCAACATTGGTCGAATTTGGAAAGGGCAGTGTTTGTAATACAGATCTAAGTATTGAGTTTGACCTACCAATGAATATGGCAAAAGTTTGGTGTCCAAGCAGGAATTACAGTTTGACCCTTGCACAAAGCACATCTCATGCTGACGTCATCATGGGATCTACACCACCAGCCTCCGACGAACCAAAAGAAAAGTGTAAACTACAGAAAATAAAAAAAGAAACCAAATTCGTACACGTGTCGGTCGTTCAATGGCCCAAATTGAAATTCCTAAGATGACATCTTAAGAACGCTATGCTGAGGTCATCGGGGCTAGGCGTGGCCAGCTAATGGACACGGTGTTTGTTAAATAAACGCCAAATCTCTTTGCCTTGTGTTATGCATTGACCTTCCAAAAAAAAAAAAAAAAACTAATAACAAGACAGGCATGAGAACTGATGAAATCGTCCTAATAATTGATTTTTGTTTTATATTTTTCGACTCTAACTATCTATTCGGCGATCCATCCTTGTATGTTGTATATAAAGCAGGTTCTTTCTCCTTCATCCTCCCAAATTTGCCAGTTCTTCGCAGTTGCTTTCACTGCTAGAAACACAGAGAAAGTAATCCCAGAAAGAAAGAAAACCAACCAAAGCCCCGTAATTTGGAAAAGAAAGAAATGCCAGACAGAGAGAATTCTTGCGTCGTTCGTGAATCCCGCCAGGTGGTGAGGAAGTTCCTGGCCAGGCCTCAGCACGAGGGAGTCGGCGCCATTGTTAGAAGGAGCATTGGAAGGTAATGACAGTCTTGGTTTTCCTGCTCATATGAGGGATCAGGTGTTTGATCCTTCATTGGAGTCGTCTTCAATGAATTATAAGGAGTTTGTGATTAATGTCTAATGATGGGTTTTGTTTGTTTTGTCAGGTTCGAGCTGAAATACTTCGATCCTTTCCTTGCTCTTGATGAGTTCTCTGGTTGGTGCTCTGTTTTTACTCTGTTCTTGCTATGCTCTGTTTTCACTCTGTTTGCCCCCTCCTCTGTTTATTTCCCCCTCTTTTTTCTTCCTTTTGTTACTAATTTCCCTTTCCTTCTTCTTCTAAACAAACAGTCACTGCGCCAGCAGGGTTCCCCGATCATCCACACAGAGGTCTGGTTTTTTCTCCCTGAAATTTCCACCCTTCCGTTTACATTTCAATCCAGCAATGGGATTAAGAGCGGAAAGACTGAATTTTTAGCGTTTACCTGTTTTCTGTCCAACAGGTTTCGAGACGGTCACGTACATGTTACAGGTAAATTGCCTTGAGAAAAAAAAAATCCAATTTGACTTTGTCATTTGCATCGCCGTTTCTCCACTAGCTACCAAAAAGAATATGATATTCCACAGAAACAAAAGAAGAAAGAAAAAGAAGTTTCGGAACTTTTATTTTGTGGGCATGGTCGGCAGCAAGATCCCAAGGGCACTAGCTGGGCCATGGTGGTGCCAAATATTTTGTATTTGTTTGGATTAAAAAATTGGTTTAAATTTTCTTACAGGGCTCGGTCCTGCACGAAGATTTCGAAGGTCACAAAGGGACAATCGCAGCCGGCGACTTGCAATGGATGACGGCCGGCAGAGGGATCGTTCACTCCGAGATGCCTGCAGCTCAAGGCACCCAAAAGGGTCTCCAGCTCTGGATCAACCTTTCTTCCAAGCACAAAATGTAAGTTAACTGCCTAATTAAAGCTCCAATCTTTCAAACATTTGTCCATGAATGACTCTCTGCCTAATGTTTGATTATACGTTTCACTAGTAAAATTAGACTAGATACCCATTTGATATAACTTTCCCGAAACAGGATAGAGCCAAGGTACCAAGAAATCTCGAGCAAGGACATTGCGGAAGCATCGAACGACGACGGAGTGAAGGTGAGAGTGATAGCAGGGGAAGCCTTGGGAGCCAAGTCACCGGTATACACGAGGACGCCAACCATGTACTTGGATTTCACGCTCGAGCCGGGAGCAAGGCTGCAGCAGCCGATTCCGGCATCGTGGAACGCATTCGTGTACGTGCTCGACGGAGAAGGAGGGTTTGGGAGTGGAAGTAAAGCTGTGACCGCATCGGCTCACCATCTCCTGCTTCTGAGCAGCGGTGGGGATGGGCTGGAGGCGTGGAACAAAACGGCCAAGCCGGTCAGATTCATATTGGTCGGCGGGCAGCCGTTGGGGGAGCCTTTGGCGCAATTGGGTCCGTTTGTGATGAACAGTGAGGAAGAGATTGATCAGGCCATTGATGACTTTGAGAAGTGTGTGAATGGGTTTGAGAAGGCTCGGCATTGGAGGTCTGAGAGTGGGATTAGCCTTGGGTTGTAGAGGATGAAACAGGGTTATGGATGGAGAGTAGGATATAGAGATCACTCTCAAAATGTATATTTGGTCTCTCCTTTTGTTTTCATTATTTGAATGGAAAATTATCTATATTTCACTATTGATTTTTCAAGGGCATTATTTTGTGACGCATGGTAGTCGTATGAGCATGTGCTATTAGCCATTAGGGATGGCAATGGGTAAGACCGGGTGCGGGTTCACCCTATACCATACCTTAATCTATCGGGTACGATTGTTTACAATATTCAGTCAAATAACCACCGAGTACTAAAATGATATAACCATATCCTACCCATCGGGTAATCACGGGTATTCGAGTAACCACGAGTATGAATTTATTTTTTTCGTTAAATACGAGTACGAATTTATCGTCATGCTGTAAATAATTATATTCTAAATAATATTGTCATATAAACTTTTATAGACTTACGTATTGTCCATTAACTACTTGCAATCCTCAAAATGGTTCAAACTACAACAATTCACAACACACAAGCAAAGCGGCAAAGGCAACAAAAGTTTTGGGGTAGGGAAATTGGAGGAATGAAATTGGAAATATTTATATGAATGAAGTTTGGCTGCTGCTACTAGGGTTAGGCAGATTTACAGCATACATAATTATGGGCGGGTACAACCGGGACAGGTATAGGTGATTATCGTACCCAAACTCTACTCATTATTTTGAAACTGGGTATTATCCATACCCGCCCCTTAGTCCGTCAAAGCGGGTAATTACCCTCGTTGACCGGTTACGGTCGGATAGGGTACCCATGATTACCAGTTGGATTGACATCCTGATAGATCAATAATTACACATGTTTATACCTCCATTCTTGAGCTGTTTGAGAGTCGATTCTCGTGTTTTAAGCCGATTTCATGCTAGGTTGTGTGTTTATGTCATATTTCAGGACTTGGCGTTGACGTGAAGGCGAGGAAACGAGTTTTGGGTCAAAAGGAGGACGTTGGAGTAGAAGGGTGTTGGAGAAGCAAAATACCCGGCCATGAGTAATAATACCCGGCCAGGTAAATCGCTAAGAGAGGCCGGGGGAAACCAGTTTTGGACGTCGAGAAACAGAAGGGGTCCTGGCCAAAGACCGAAAATACCCGATCGGGTATTCTGGACCTCGATTGGGTATTAACCCTGTACCGCTGCGTTGTGTTTCAAAATCCCCGGTCGGGCACCTGAAATACCCGACCGGAGATCGCGAACAGCTGGGTTTTAAGGGAAAGAATGCCAATTTTGCAAGGGTTCCGAGTTTTAAAGAGACAAAGCTTATACCTAGAGAGAGAAAGTGACGAACCTGATTCTCCAAGTGGCCTAGATCGATCTTCATCACCATTGGAGCCTGGCTTGAGCTTGGAGAAGTGTTGATTGATTTCCAGAAGCAGAATCCTACCCTTCACTGTATGGTTTCCGCGTCTGAGCTAGATTTCCCGTCTCTCTCTATGGAGTAACTTTCTCATTCACCTGGGTATGAAGAACCCTAGATTTGTATGTTAGGTCTGATTGTATGAATCCAAGTATGATTTCAGTTATATGATTATATTCAATTGAGGTCTGATTTCTTGAATGACATGAATCCTTATCAAATTCTTGTTATTTCTGCTTTGACCTAGAAAGAGAATGTCTGCCTAGGTTGATAGAGCACCCTTGATTGAAGGTAGTGAATTGGCGACTTTAGTCGAGGAGTCAATTCACTATTTTGTACCGGATTTACTTTGGTAGAGGAGGTTTGGTTCGTTAGGGCCTCAATCTGTTTACTCCGGTGGAGGTTAGTCGCCCGCTGGGGACTCAAATTGAGAGGGTCTGGAGACCTTTAGTCGAGACTGCAGACTGTTTAAGAACCTCCTGCAGTATAAATATCATTGAACTTGAATTTGGTAAATTACAATTTGGCTTAACTGCAGTCTAGGGGGAACCATATCCGGGTGACCTCTCTCAACTTGAACACAACTTTCACTGCTTTGCTTTCTAGTTTAACTACTAAACCTTCACTACACTTGAACCGCTAGATAACAAGAATTTCATGAAGTAGTCATCACACCTAGGACCCGGGTTGACAATTAGAACTGAACCCGCTATACTAGGCATTAGTAGGTGGTTACGCTTGGCCACTTTCTAGTGTGACGGTAGAGGCGTGTCAAGTTTTTGGCGCCGTTGCCGGGGACGGCTAGGTTGTTGAAGAAACGTGATTTTTGTTACTTTAGCATTTCCATTTCTACATTGATTGTGTGCTTTTTTCCCGCTTGTGCCTTCACGGGTTTACTTGCTTGGCTGTGTGTAGGTATTGCATGACCCGTAGCCAGTCGGGAGGTTTACTACCGTTAGATCTGAACTAGAACGCACCTGTCGCCAACTAAGGAGACAACAGCGAGCCAGGTTGGCTACGGAGGAAATGCGCATCGACGGCCACTTGAGCAGCGATTCTGAGGAGGAGTACGAGATGGACGGTTGATGGACCATCGATTGCACGTATTTTACCTCCATTCTTGAGACGTTTGAGATGTTGATTCTCGTGTTTTAAGCCGATTTCACGCTAGGTTGTGTGTTTATGTCAAATTTCAGGGCTTGACGTGGACGTTGAGGCAAAGAAACGAGTTTCGGGTCAAAAGGAGGACGTTTGAGTTGAAGGGTGCTGGAGGATAGAAATACCTGGCCATGAGCAATAATACCCGGCCAGGTAAAAGTGTGATGAGGCAGGGGAAAATCGTTTTTGTGCGCCCATAAGGCAGAAGGGGTCCCCGCCAGAGAGCAAAAATACCCGATCGGGTATTCTGGACCTCGATCGGGTATTAAGGCCTTCACTGCTAGGGATGGCAATGGGTCGGGTTGGGGCGGGTTTTGTCACACCCAAACCCATGGGTTTATCCGTAAAAAAAACCGGGGTAAAACCCGTTGGGTTTGAAAAACTCAAACCCAACCCAACCCTCTGGGTATCCGCGGGTTCATGGGTACCCGTGGGTTTTTGTGGTAAAAATTTACAATAACAAGTTTCTTTCAAAATAAAAGTTTAACATCAATTTTCTCATACAAATTAATCATACAAAAAACACCAATCTAGAGCATACAAGCAAACCGCAAATGATCAATACAAATTGTTCAAAATTAAAGATAAACATATATAAATAATAAGATTAATTGAAAGCTTCTTCCTCGTCAACTAAGTTTCTTCACTCTCACTTCATAATATCAACTTCATTCTAAACAATTAGAAAGAACAAATTATACATGTCTCCACAAACATATAGAATATTAATTATTTAAGGAAGATATATTATTTAGAATATTAAATATACCGGAAAAGTAATTATATGTGTGTGGGCGGGTACCCATGGGGCGGGTTTACCTAAATCCAAACCCAACCCGACCCGGTGAATAGTGTAGCGGGTTTAAACCCGAACCCGGCCCAAAGCTCGTCAACACGGGTTGGGTCGGGTGGATACCCGTGAGTTCGGGTTTTGTTGCCATCCCTATTCACTGCTGCGCGGCGTTTCGAAATCCCTGGCCGGGCACCTGAAATACCCGACCGGGGATTATGGCCGGGGATCGCGAGCAACTGGATTTTAAGGGAAAGAAGGCCAATTGTGAAGGGGTTCCGAGTTTTAGAGAAATAAAGTGATACCTAGAGAGAGAAAGCAACGAACCAGAGTTCCCAAACTCCTTAGATCGATCTTCATCATTAGTGGAGCCCGGATAACGCTTGGAGAAGTGTCGATTGGCGACCAGAAGCAGAACCTCATTCCTCACAGCATGTTTTCTGCTTCTGAGCTAGAGTTTGCTTCTCTCTCCATGGAGTAACTTCCACATTCACCTGGGTATGAAGAACCCTAGATTTGTATGTTAGGTCTGATTGTATAAACCCAAGTATGAATCCATTGCTTTGATTATATTCAATTGAGGTCTGATTTGTTGAATGGCATGAATCCTGATCAAATTCCTGTTATTTCTGCTTTGACCTAGAAAGAGAATATCTGCCTAGGTTGATAGAGCACCCTTGATTGAAGGTAGTGAATTGACGACTTTAGTCGATGAGTCAATTCACTATTTTGTACCAGATTTACTCCGGTAGAGGAGGTTTAGTTCGTTAGGGCCTCAATCTGTTTACTCCGGTGGAGGTTCGTCGCCCGTTTGGGACTCAGATTGAGAGGGTCTGGCGACCTTTAGTCGAGACTTCATACCAGTGTTATTAAAGCCGAGCCGAGCTGCTCGGCCCGACCGGTAAAACCGTCACCCGGTCACAAAACCGGCTCGGAACAGTCTAAAAGCCGCTTCGGTTTTATGTAGCGGTTGACGAGCGGCCGAGGCGGTTAACCGCTCGAGCCGATCGAGCCGCTCGTCCGGTTTTTGCCATGAGCCATTAAATTTAATTAAAAAAATTGCAGAAAATTGAAATAAACCAAAAATGCCGGGCTCTCAAACTGAATCCTTATTTCCATTTCACAATTTCGAAGGAAAGAGACGAGCTCTGATTAAGAAATGTCCACTATTTATACTGATAACGTTTATTAGGTACCGGTTCTCTAACGGTTTTTAAACGGTCTAATGCCGGTTGGACCACTAAAGTGAGAGACGTTCGCATTACCGGGTAATGCTCCGGTTCGGTTCTGACAACATTGCTGCAGACTATTTAAGAACTTTCCGCAGTATAACTATCTTTGAATTCGAACTTGGTAAATTAGAATCTAGCTTATCTGCAGTCTAGGGGGAACCATATCCGGGTGACCTCTCTCAACTTGAAAACAACCTTTTACTGCTTTGCTTGTTTGTTTACTTGGAACTTCATTACATTTTTACTGCTAAATAATAAGAATTCACGGAGTAGTCATCACACTTAGGTTCCGGGTTGACATTAAAACCCAAGCCCGCTATACTACGCTCTAGTAGGTGGTTACACTTGGCCATTTTCTAGTGTGACGGTAGAAGCGAGCCAACGGTGCGCAAAACCCGCCCCAGGGGATGCCTCTTCAGGTTCCCCCAATGAATCAGATCTTGGGGAACAACCCAGTTCCCCAAGCAGATGGGGCTCAGCATCCACCACCGCCGTCGGGTCCAATCATGGAGTATTACTACACTCCACGGGCCGTCGACATCCGCCCCGTCATCCTCTATCCGCCTATTCCAGCGAACAACAT